TCTATCTATCTATCTATCTATCTATCTATCTATCTATCTATCTATCTATCTATCTATCTATCTATTTTATTTATATATTTTGTCAAGCATGTATTAGATAACAAGTATAATTAGAACATAATTAGGATTACATGAAATAGGTACAAATAAAAGGGAGGCATTAGGACAGGGATGGTAGGCACATTGGTACGCTTATGCATGCCCCTTACAGACCTCTTAGGAATGGGGTGATATCAACAGTAGACAATCTAAGGGTAAAGTTTTGGGGGTTTGGGGAAGAAACCACAGAATCAGGTAGTACATTCCAGGCATTGCCAACTCTGCAGTCGATTTTAGCGCTTAAGTTTGTATCTATTTTGTGCTCATGTATTGTGATTGAAGCTGAAGTAGTCATTGACAGGTAGAAAATTGTAGCAGATAAATTTGTGTACTATGCTTAGGTCAGAGCAAAGGCGGTGTAGTTCTAAGTTTTCTATGCCCAAATTTTCAAGTCTGGTGGTATGAGGTATTCTGTTGCAAACAAAAGAGTGAAGGACTCTTCTTGTGAAATATCTCTGGATTCTCACAATTGTATTAATGTCTGATATGCAGTGTGGGTTCCAGACAGATGAGCTGTATTCAAGAATTGGTCTAGCAAATGTTTTATATGCTTTAGTTGGCAGTACAATATTATCAGAGAAAAAGTTATGCAGCATTAGGTTAACAACTCTTAATGCCTTTTTGGCAATATTGTTACAGGGGGCTCTGACACTTAGATCATTACAGATGAGTAATCCAAGGTCCTTGACAGAGTGAGTGTTGTCTACAAGGTTGTGTCCATCCAGCTTGTATTTTATGTTCTGATTTTATTTTATTTTTGCCAATGAGCATTTTTTGGTTCAGATTTGAAGTTGCCACTTCTTTGACCATTCTGTCACATAGTCAAGGTCTTTTTGAAGGGTAGCAGTGTTGTTGGTGCATTGGTTTTTTAAAGTACATTATGTTGTAGGTGATTACAAAGGGATAGGACTTGAGTTGTATAATTGTATGCATCTCAGCTCCCTTAGCTTCTTGCTGTCACCCCTGACTGTAGGCTCTGGTTACAGCAGAGATCAGGTTCAGCATCAGACAGGAAGTTCAGTGGTTAGCTTTAGGCCAATTGCTAACTTTTAGATGAAACTATCACAGGATTATTTAAGGAGAGAAATACTATGAGGGGCTGAGAACTGTATGTATTGTCTAAAGCTTTTGGAGCTGAGTAAATCCCCCAGAAAGACATTTTTATTATGATAGACCAAGACCATTATTATTTGTATTTTTCAGGATTGTAATGGAGTTGAATGAGGGGACTTATGACCACTGCAATGAACTATGGTTATGTGAACAAAAATCAGGCAAGCAAATAGAGAGATGCTGCAGCATCCATCCTGCATATTTTTCTTCCCTCCCATTTCTACTCTGCCAGGATCTAGAAGGCCTTGGGCTGATTTCTTGCCTCACTGGGTCACCAAGGGACTTGGCTCTTGACCCTGCTGGGTCCCACTCCTTCTTCCCCATCCTTATTTACCGGATAGCCTTTTTGTAAATCTCCTTCTGGAAGCCACCATTCATTGCAGCCACTCCCTACACTCTGCCTGCTTCCAAGACAGGAACACACACAGGGAGGTCTAGGGACAGACTTATCTACCCTCTTTCCCCAGTATGAACTCCGGGGCTCCAAAACTCCATAGTGCTTGATTCCAGAAGGAGATTTAGCAAAAATGTAAGTGACAGGAGAGGAGGTGGAGGCTGTGGGACTCAATGGGATGGAAAGGAAGTCCAAGTGCACCAACATGCCTACCAGTCCTAATAGCCCCTTTTATTCGTACCCATTTCATGTAATCATAATCATGTTCTAATTATATTTGTTATCTAATTCATTCTTCATAAATAAATAAATAAATAGATAAATTAATAGAAGGCTTGTATGAATCCCAAGGGAGGGGAAGCAGAATACACAGAGAGACCCAGATTAAGAGGCTGAACAGTCCCAAGCTGGATGGGGCAGGACTAAAGGAATTAAGGGCAGCTACAAAGTAGAATATCTCAGGATATACCTAATAGATAGAAAATATATAATTTTAGTTTGGCAAGATTCTGTCTATTAGGCATAAACAAATAAAATATTGTACTGGATAGGATTTTGCTGTGTTATCACTGGGCTTGGCCTTGGCAGTTAATGTTCTAAGAAAATTGATTGCCTGAAAGCAAAAGTTTCAAGATTATGTGCTCTAGTCATTACACTGAGAAAATCTAAATACGCATAGTTCTTGTTTAGCAATTGCCTCATTTGCAGTTTTGCCAGTGATAAAAAAAGTGACTTTAAGAAGTTTGGAAAGCAAAGGAAAGTTGAAGTAAGAATGTAAATGCAGTTGTGATATCACTTAGCAATGGTTAAATAACAACCAAGTTGCTGGTCCCAATCATGGTTGTTAAACAAAGACTATCAGTATGGATGGAGAAAAGATATCTTCAAAATAGAAGTTGGAAATGTCCTAGATTAATGACTAGTTTTTTTTTTAAAAAAAAAAACACCATACAGTATGTGAGGGGATGTTGCTGTAAGTATATATTTTACTCATTGTGGATTTCTTTTTGTACTTCTTCCTCTCTTGTAGGGAGCCATGATGATGATGAAGTTAAGAAAGCAGCCAGAAGTGGTTAGAAAAACAGCAAGTGGAGAAAAAAATATGGATGCATGAAAGTGACTCAGAAAGATTCCCCCAAGCTTCTTTGACTCCCTGGAGAGGGGAAGGAAAAACACAGGTGGACCTTCTGCTGAAGATTCTGCTACAGCAGTGTTTTTCAATCTTGATTTCTGGGAGTCTGTCAAGCTACCAAGTGTTGAGATATACTGTTGTTAAATTATATCCTAGTCTTCCAGTGGGACATTGGTTTCCTGATCTCATTTGGTTAACACTTACTTCCTTTGTAGAAAGTATAAATAAAAATAGAATTTACTTACTATGTTTAGGTTTTTAACATTAATTACTCCTGAAAAGGAAGCGAACAGGACACAAAGCTTGTCAATTACTGGATAGCTGCATGCATAGGCCAGCATGGTTTTTAGTCTCTTACTAACAAAGCAAAGTTCTTTAGTGCCCCATATTAGCTGTAAAATAAAAATGGCTATATTTTAGCTACACACTATTAAAACTATTGTTTCTGCAACCTTTAACAGAGCAAAACATTGACAACAAACATACCTCAGTTGGACTAAATTATCAAATGAAGTCCCTATTATTCCCAAGGGAATCATATTTGAGAAAGCTGTATAGCAGCTTGGCAAGTTTAAGACTTGTGGACTTCAGGTCCCAGGATTCCCGAGCTGACATGACTGGAGGAGGAATTCTGGGAGTTGTAGTCAGGGGTGGGATGTTACCGGTTCTGCCCGGCTCTATTGAACCAGTGGCTCTGAAGAGCAGCAGACGCTGAACCGGTTCTGTCACCCGCCCGCACAGGCTGGTACCTGTCCTTTATTTCCTGCTTTGTGCGGCACAGCTGAGGTTGAAAAGGCAGGGGAAAAAAGCAGGGGTGGGATTCAAATTTTTTAACAACCGGTTCTATAGGCGTGACTTATTGGTGGGTGTGGCTTGGTGGTCATGTGACTGGCTGGGTGTGGCCAACTCAATATCACTTACATCGAGGCACACATCTCCTCACCTGGCCTCTCATGACTGTGGGGATGCTGCAACAGTCGTAAGTGTGAAAAGGGGTCATAAGTCACTTTTTTCAGTGCCACTGTAACTTTGAGTGGTCACTCCACATAAGCAAAGTACCAGCAAAGGAGGGGGGGAAAAAAACTCCAGAGAAGTTCCTGAGACAGGAAGTCTAGTCCTGCCAAGAATGTAATAAGGGTCAACGGAGAGGCAGTTTCTGTAAGCAACACCAGAATGTTTCCTTCCTGCCTTCCTTACAGGATTAGGCCAGTAAAGTGGAAAAAAATAAAAGGAGATTTCTTCTAACAACCAATTCTCCGAACTGCTTAGAATGTTAACAACCGGTTCTAGCAAATAGGTGTGAATTGGCAGAATTCCATCCCTGAAAAAGAGGCTTTTCGAACGCTGCGCACCTGCATTCAGCACTTTTCAGCTGTCTGGGCAGCACATCCTAGGGCTACTGTACATGCACACAAAATGTAATCACTGAATTGGTAGTAATGCTGGTTGTAGTCCACAAGTCTTAAAGCTGTCAAGTTTGTAGACCCCTGCTGTACAGGCTTCAGGGCTGCAGCTACTTAAATGCTGTTATGTGATCCTCATTTTCAAATCCCTTGCTTCCACCTTCACCTAGTAGCAACCACTTACTTGTCTGTTGGGAAGGGGAAGGGAGGAGAGGGGAGGGGAAAAGAATGGAGGGAGGGAAGGAGGAAACTAAGAAAGGATGGAAGATACAGAGGGAGGGAAGGAGGGAGGGAGGGAGGAAGGTTGGTTTCGGATGCTCACCATCAGTTTTTCAAAATGAAATTTAATGGCAAAGCTTACAGGAAGTTGGATATCGATCCTGCTCTCACTTCTTTTTGCCTGCTTGGGGTCACTCTGTTTCTCTGTTTTGGGAAAGAAGTAGCTCTGAAATGATGACACATGATCCTCATTTACAACATTCCCTGACATCTTCCCACAAATCAATGGGAAAGCCAAAGATTCTTGCAGGGGGAAAATCAGTGAGGATCACGTGACCATGGTTAACTGTGAGAACCCAGCTGGGGGTTTGGCCTTGCAGCTTCTTTCTTGGGTAGCTTTCAGGGAGTAAGTCACTGGAGAGTTCGCAAGCTGCTTAGGTTGACTCCCTCACACTCTTCGCCAGTCCCTTTCTGCTTCTGCCCTGCTGGTCAGCCTTGACCATGACCCAATACAGGTTGTCCCAGGTTGTCTAGTTACCATTAATATTCAGAATTGTTTATTAACAATAAGCCTGACATACAGAGTTGGGGCATTAAGATCATGTTAGGCTAGTCACTTAAAGCTAGAGATGGCAGAATACAGGTAAAGGAACTAAATCAATAAATACCTACTTCTCTCAGTTCACGTGGAATTTTTGAAAGTATATCGAGCAACCCAGCAGTATCTTCCAGGGTGTAGGGTGGGTTCAGGGCTATATACAGCTTCACTCTGTCAGAGAGGTAGGGAAGGATCCCAAAAGTAATGAAACCTGCAAAATGAAAAGAAGCAGGAGAAAATTAGGATACATGAATGCTATAACTTTAACTTCTGCTTATCCCTCCTTTTGAGAAATTCTCCCCCCTCCCCTAATAAATAAATTATAAATTATTGACTTCTTCACATTCCCAGATTGGAATAAAGAGATGGTTAAATTAGTATGAATGAGATAACTGATGAGGAATGGTGAAAATTTACATATCGCCTTCCTTCTTGGTATCCTGCTTTGAATGTCCCTATGATCATGCAGCGCACGAGCGAAAAACCTAATCCTGATATAGGGAACATTTTTTATGAAAAGGAGAAATAATTGTTCCTCAGTTCCAAGTAAATGCAACCTTTGCTGCCCTTCCAATTTTAAATCTTAAAGAATTTCTCTATTTATAGCTCCCTCTCTCCCAACTTAATTTAATGCCAGTTAAAGAAAGCCAGTTTGGTCTGATGAATAAGGCAACAGGGTAGAAAGTGAGTTCAAATCCCACTTTAGCCATAAAATTTGTCTGGGTGACCTTGGGCCAGTTACTTTCTCTCAGAACAACCCACCTCAGAGGGTTGTTGTTGTGGGGAAAATAGAATAAGGAAAGTGTATTGGATATGTTCTCCATTGTGTTATTTGTAAAAATGATAAAGGCGGGATGCTAAACAAGTATATGGATAAACAAACAAGTTAAAACATTGCCTCCACCTGAGCATCCTTGATAAGGGAGAGAAATACTTAGAATATGAACTTTTAAACAGCTGGATGAAGAACTCTTGAATATGCCCTGTATTTGTCAGAAAAGCCCCATCAATTAACTCCATATAAGAGCTCTTATAACCTAAGCACATTTACAAACAATGAACAACACAAAAATACCATATATTAACACTTTTCCTGTTACCTGTCCATCTACTGTTATATTTAGCCATAAGCACTGAAATCCAATAATCTAGTAAAGCACCTAGTAAGAAAAGGAGAGAGATTGCAGGAACCAGGGAAGCTACCAAGCTACCCTGGAAGTTACCAAGGAGCTGTATGTTGTGGCCTGCCAGCCATTGATGGATCTGGCAGCAAAGTCGGACAGTAGTGAGGAGGTTGGGAGGAACCTGGGCTAGTCTTGGAGACTGAGGAAGGCTCGGACGAGGGCTCTGCATCAGAGGCAGAGATAAGGCCAGGGCAGGCTGGCAGTCAGCAGCGGTCTTCAGACTCAGACAGCAGTGAGGTGGGGGAGGTTTTGGAACTGGTTCCCAGCTTGCACATGTGTAGGGCTACCAGAAGAGAAGAACAATTGAGAAAGCAGGGTCGACTTAGGAGTAAGGCCATACCTCGGAGATGATTAGCCACTACCATAGGATATAAATGAGGCGCAGACGGTATGTGAGCTTTTGCAGGAAGCAGTTAGTTTGTCTGGTTGATTCAAGCTTTGAAAATTTCTGTTTGACTCTGCCTCAAGTGTGGCCTTGCCCTGCATTTGGCAATTAGTTCTCGTATGATAAGGTGGGTGTTTGTAAACATTCCCCTGAAAAACTGTTTGTGAAGCCTTGCAGGCTGTGAATGAATGTAATTCACAGCTGTGGAAATAAAAGAGGTTTTGCCGGAACTAAGATTGTGTTTTATGCTTTCGAAGGAAGCCTAGGACAGAACACTGTGGCAGTCGGCAATGATTGAAGTGGACTAGTTGTTCTGTCAGCTGAATGACTGTGTGGTAAACTAATCTAGGCAGTAGATTTGTCCTGATGAAGACCAATTTGATTCCTATATTAGAATGCAGTGTTGGTGAAATGTTTGGTTGTCAATGGTGTATCAAGGGGTGTGACATTAAGGGTCCAAGGCAAGTTTCTTCCCTAGTAAGAGTAATGGTATGTTAGAATTAATGTCAGAAGGTTTTCCAATAGTTATCCAGACTGGAAATAGTTAATTCTGAGAATAATTCTCTCAGATCACAACTCAGCAAGATTTATGAGATGCTGGTTATACTAGCAAGGAAGAATTCTGATGGTATTCAGATTTCAAATCAGAAGTCTCAGTAGTAGATTGCACTGATGACATTCCCTAGTCTGGTGAAGAAACATCTACAAGAAAACCACCAAGTTCAGAGAGCACCAAGGATGCCAAGAATATGAAGTCTAAAGATAAATTTGGAGAGCAATATGATGACACTCCCTTCTTTTTCATCTAGGGGGAAAATTCTTTTTTATTTTGAGAAGAATACTATTTACTATCAGAAAAGTATTTTGGAACTGGTTTCCAACCTTACCACCATTGTGTGAAAAGCTCCCACATCTAGGGACACATAGCAGAAGAATTAAAAATAGGAGTGAACTAGGAAGCAGAATGTGAGAAAAGCCAAAGCCATAAAAAGTTTTAGAATAAGTTATGTGGAGAAAAAGAGGCACATCTCAACTTCAGTTAAGTGCTTTCCTCCATTAGGTATGAAATGAAGGCCTACTCTGTATTGGCTCAAATGGCATTTATAAATTCTTGACAGCCATCCTCATAGAAGCCTTAATGGTCAATGGTCCTTAACTAGGATAAATGTTGATAACATTTCATAACAGAGATGCGGATGGAGAATGTGTTGTGATATAGGCTGATGTGAAGGCAAATACATATGTGTCCCAGTAAATCTTTGTTTCCGACCCCGATTGGATATTGTAAGTTAATGTGAATGAAAACAAACAAAAGTACATAGCTGTTTTCTTGCTTTTGCTCATCACAGTTGAAGAGGGAACCCTGGATCCTTGGTTGGTAGAGAGAGAAAAAAAAACAGTTTTATTATAACATGATCCCAAAAGTATATTCTTCATTAATAATACCTAATGATGCTCCTTGTGAATAGCCAATATAGTATAAAGAATCTTGTCCTGTTTTCTGTAGGATGAAGTTTATTGCAGCTGGTATATCATAAATTGCCATTTCATGAAAGCTGTAACACAAAATACACCTGTAAGTTTATTCCCTATGCTGCTATCTGTGGACATTAGCGTCAAAGCCCCTGATCACAGCTCACTGATCATGGGCTCACCAACTTGAAAGTACAATTACTCCATAGAGGCTTCAGTTTTCCCCATTTTAACAAATAATATTTCAAAGTAGATTTGCTCTGGTGTTGGTGATAGTGATGATGAGGCATTCTAAAAATTGAAAATCACAGGAATGTAAAACTGGACCCTGGGGATAATATTCTGTTTTTATTTTTTAAATGAAATCAGTGTAGCCATCCATATTGCCATAAGCAACTTTAGATGGCATACAACAATGAAATAAATAACAGATATTAAATATATAAAACTATAAAATACACATTTAAAAAATATTATAAAAACAAAAATGCAAACCATGTGTTAGATCGGGTACAAAAGAGACGCGAGACCAGTGCACTTCAAGCTCTTTATTTTATGTTAAGATCTGTACAAGATCTTGGAGCCGTGGCAGCCCTTCATATAGGGATTGCTCGCGGCTTGTCGGCCAATGACAGGACTTTGAATCTCCCGCGATCAGCTCGGCCAATCGCGGTTGATTCTTAGGAAGTCAATCACGGCCGTTCAGTAGACCAGTCGGGATGCGGTCCGTGTGGACCAATCAGATTTCAGCTTTTGGAGTATGTTAATATAGAACACCATGGACAGAGGAAGGATAAGAATAGAGACATCAAAGTAAGTTTCTGGTTCCCTGGGAGCTCTGACAACATAAGCAGATCTTGAGGGAGATCAGTAATGTCAAAAGGGATGCAGCTAATCTAATTTCATGGAAAACATTTTCAGTAATGTGGCCGTCATGGCAGAGAAGGCACATCTACTAATCCCTAGCTGATGGTACCCATAGCATGTCTTCTCTGGTGGAACTGATGAGACAGGCTGATATAACAAAGGAGAGTCAGTATCTCAAACAAGACAGTCCCATGCCATGAGGGGCTTAGAAGGTTAAACTGGGACCTTGAATTGGACTTGCAAGCAAACTGGAAACCAATGCAGCTTGCAGAGCAGAAGTGTAATGCGTTCTGTCCTAGGAGTACACATATTGGCTCATGCTGCAGCATTCAAAACCAGCTGAAGTCTCTGGGTATTCTTCAAGAACAGTCCTACGTAGAGCACAATGCAGTAGTCAAATCTGGAGGGGATGAGATCATGAGAGAGAGTGTATGCAGGATGCACAAATTATAGCTGAGCAAACACCTTCTTAAGTATGACTGTCATCTGCTCATTGAGCAGGAGTGGTGAGCAGAAGGAAACATGAGTGTAAGATGACCCCTAGATAATGCAATGGGTCACTGTAGAAAAGTGCAATCCCATCCAATGCCAATGATGGCCTAGACCTAGAACCATTGGGCCCCCAATTCCAGAGCCACTCAGTTTTGCCATGGTTCAGCTGAAGCCTTTTCTCATCCAGATCCTTACAGTTCATGGCATTGCTTAATTTTCAATGGGGTAGAGATATATAATTGGGTATCATAAGCATATTGATGATACCTCACCCCATGGTGACAGTTGAGTCAGTCAATGGCCTTATGCAGAAGCTAAAAAAGACAGGAGAATGCATTGAATCCTGTGGCACCCCACCGCATAGAAGAATGGGATCTCTCCTTCACAAACACCCCTGGAATCAAGTGACTAGATAGTGTATCTTTGAATATATTCACAAAAGGAACATCCTGGTGTGACCCAATAAGGTGAAAAGAAGACCAAAGAGCACTAGGGTGATTACATTTCAAGTTTTCCTTTTAGTCCACTAGCTTAAAATTTCCTCATGAGAACCTGTCGCTTATAGTTCAAAGATTCACAATGTGAGAATCACCACACATCTGACCCCCTTATTAAAAATAAATGTTCCTCTGTTCAACCCTTTTCCCCAAGTCCACCATTCCACACTGTTCAGTGACATTATATTTAACTTAGTCTAATCTTAATCTAACAAAATGTGATGTGATATTCAAAAATTCACCCATGATCTCTTAAACAAATTGAAATTGACTTATCTTTTTTCTCCCTACATTCTGTTCTTTTTTCCCAAAAACCCAAACCTTTTAAATTAAAAGAATAAGAATGGAAATATATTGTGGTTAAAGAAAATAAGATACAATATGCAAATATTTATTCTTCATTTACATTCACCTTAAAACAATTTTCCTAATATTTCCTAATAATAATTTCACTATCAACTCTTCTTGGAATTTACCTCTCTCTCTCTTTATTTATTGTTTAGCCCTTGAGCCATATCAAAGTGTATAGTTCCAGAAACAAATTATTACTAAAATTCAACTCTCCTTGAAATTTACCTGAATTCCCAGAATTCTTGCTGATCAATTGAAAACTCTTGGTGTCTTCTAGACCAAGTGGTCCCTCTATTATTTATTATCCAGACATCATAGCCAGCATCTGCTAGAAAAAATCCCAGGCTGTTGCTAGGAATGTTTGCAATCCAAGATCTCCCTTCCAATGGAAAACCATGTACCAATAAAACAATTCCTGCAAAAGAATCCAAGAATACATGATTTATTGTATGTTATCTATAAGTACAAGGTTATGTAGCTTCCTGGATTCAAATGGTAAAATATAACTTTTACCCACGCATATTAGATTCAATATATAAAACCATACCATAAGTAGCAGTCAGGGTACCACACTGTGTAACAGTTGCAACTTCCAACTGATGTGCTTTGCTCAAAGGCTGTGCTCAAAGGCAATCCAATGTACAGTAAATGAAAATAATTTACTTCCCCTAAGATCCTCTGCAATGGACACTCTATTACTATCTTAACAGATTTTCTTAAAATTGGCAACTAGACTAAGATTGGAGATGAAGTGAAAGTTCTGAAGATTAAAGAATGGTCCCTTTCAAAGAGAAACCACTAAACCTCTTTCAAGGCAAGTGGTATTGAACTGTCCCCCTCAGAGAAACCTTAACTACCTCTTGAATCCAGCCATACATGTTCCACCTGCATAATCCAGAAGGGGTATGGACACAGCCCAGTTCAGCGTAACTCACCCTAAAGAGGAACCGATCATTTCTTTGGTTCCACAAGTTCAAAGGAATCCTTGACTGAACTACCCATCATAATATACCACTAACAGCTACATGATTTTTGCAAAAGGAAATACCACATGCTAGCTGAGTAGCTATGTCTCAAACAAAAATCCAGCAGAAGCTCTTTTCCAGTCAAAGCTAAAAACAGGAGCTTTCTATTTTCCTCCCTGGAAGGCAGAGCAAGATTTCCATGACCGTGTGTATGCCTATATATGAAGTATGTAAGCAATTCAGATGTGGAAATCTCACATTGAAGAGCTACCTTCATTCTGGGGACAGTATTTTCCATGAGGAATTCTGTTTAGCTGAAGGTAATAAGCATCATCAGTCCGAATTTGATACTCTTCACTGGGATATCCCCAATATTGGATAATTTCAGCCTGCAAATGAAATAATAAATTCTTGTTCAAGATGTAAGGTGTATATATTTTTGCCAGACAGACAGAAGTTTATTTGGGACATTGACCAATAAAAATATATTTAATAAGTCAAAACACACAAAATTATCCCCTGACAACCAAGAACCAAACTCAGAGAGTACCAAGGACCCTT